TTCTCACAAATCTGTGATCTCATGACCACAACGTTGATTAAAAGTCACGTTAAATAATTAACTGCGCGAGCAAATTGTTTTCAGTTGTTTATCATTTCTTCACTAAAAAAAAGGCCCCAGGTAGGTCAGAGGTAAGTTGATGGACTTACAACGCTAAAATCCATGGATTTTCGACTCTACGCTGTGGTCAGAGTGTAGAAAGCCGCTTGTGTAGCTTTGCACACACATACACAAAATAACAACAACGATCATTACATTATTTTTTTGGAACAAGAAGACTGTTGTAGATATTTCTCAAAATCTTCTGTAAACAATATACAAACTATTTGGCTTAAATAAATTTATGAATACAGCTAAAAGTGGCTTGGTGGTCAATACCTTCATTATAATGTAGGTCTTGATAATAGTTTACACAAATTCTCATTTATTATTCGAATAGTTTAAGCCTTGTTATTTGTTGCTTTCATTAACGATATTGGTTATACTAGTTAGAAAATCTTCTTGTTTTGTTAGCATTTGTAGTGTTTTAGCAATTAAGTCAGAAGAAACGATCTTCCAGATAATAGTAATAACAAACAAATTTTGCCAACGTTTCGCCATTACAGCAGGCTGTTAGTATTTAGGATTAATCTAAGTCACCTGAGCTGGTTTAATCTCGTGAGATATTACTGAGATTACAGTTGAAAAGTAGAAATATAAAAAAGGGTGTATTTAGTTAGATATACTGATGGCCTGGTTGATTTTGAGTTTCGATCTAAGTACATAGCTTACTCTGATTGGAAATCGTTATTGTTATTTCACGATTTGTTTAAAGTGTAAAATAAAGTAACTTGTTTTTGTTTAGACTTTGGATCTTTATAACGTGTTGCTTTCAACACAGTGTTAAAATAAGTTGTCTGGCGTTGTCGTAATGGGCAACGATTGTTTTAAACTGTATAAAAATCGTTGTTTAGAAATATCTTGAACAGAGAGAAAAAAATACAAGTTTTTCATACATACAACATACTTCTCCGATTTATTTTTAAACTTAGTGTCCTCAGGTACTTTTTTTTAAGAGCAGCTTTCAAACGCCAATGACGTCATGGTAACCACCAGGAGGTTAGTCTCTAGGGGTGACGATGCCAAAACACAGTACATCAACCATTCGAGAAAGATTGCATCGATTTACGAAATTTATTCTGCTTCTAAATTCAAATATCGACGAAAACCAGAGATAGAACGTGCTCTTTGATGTCCTATGCCATCAGGGATTCCGTTTTTCACGAATTCTTAAGTAGCCCTCGTTTTACTGTGTACCAACAGTAGGAGCGTTTCATATAAACTAACACAACAACTACAGGTGCTTGTTCAGGTCAGCGACCTAATTAAGCCTGGTTGTTATGAACCTATGGACACGGTTGTGTGCTGTCGACAATATAAATAGAAATATTTCAATGCGATTTCATATACATGGCAAAGAAAGGCTTTTAAATTAGACCATGTCAAGTAACACGTAACATTTTTACTAAACATCATTATTCTTCACGGATTGTGAGATCATTAACGTATTCAACTGGTGTGTAATGACGGAACTACAAAAGTCGTCACGCTTTCTGATAGGACCGTCAGTTACATTCGTTATCTCATACCTAGACCAAATACACTGTAGTTTCATGAATATATTCATTAGACCGTTTTATTACTCACATGCTTTCCTAGAATCCAGGTTTCTGTTAATTTCATAATCGGGGTCGACACCAGAAAAGTTCATGCACTAGACAGTAGCCAAAGTAAATATGTACTTTATAACATGAACAGGAGTTAGAAGTTATCTAAACCACTCAGAAACATCGGATTATTTAAAGTAACTAACATGGCTATTTGCCATGAATTATAAACAAATCCAATGAGATAATATATATCTAAATGTTAGGGATAACGTTTATTAGGTGACACAAAACAATTAACAGTAAAAAAAAAAATCTGTTTTATCACAGGAATCGATGACGTTTTTAGATCTTAAAGTTTTCATCAACTTCTCTGACTATGAAAATCTATAGCTTTTTGTATACGTAGAGGTTGACTGGCATGTAATTGTTTGAGTATTTTTCAACCTGAACAGCATCTTACGACTACATTGTTTGAACTTTCAGGTCAGCGACCTCAAGATGCACACGTAGTAGAGCTGCTGACCAGAAGGAGGGCAGTCAATCAGCAACACTTTGTCAACATGCTACTTTTAATCGAACAGGGGATTAATTAAGAGTCGGGCCCTATATGTTGACCATTAAGAGTTTATACTAAAAGATTTTCACGGAGACCTGGTCGGTAATAGCAGAAAAGTTGACCATTTGATTTATTTTTTCCCCACAGAGGTTTAAGTATTTTTTTTTCTCTCAGGGTTGTTTACAAGCTATAATATAAATCGTTCAAGTTCAAAATAAGTTCAGTTTTATCACTGTTTCTTACCGACCTCGAGGCCGGATTAACTTGTTTATGATCTCTATAGTGATTACGTTTGTTTGTTTTTATAATAGTCACTTGGAACTAAGATAATAGTTTATATTACATCTAGAATTAGCATGGCAATGATAAAAAGTTATACTACGTTACTATTAATTTAGCTGTATGACTGTTATTAAACTCAGCTATAAAGATTAAGATAATATAGAATTAAACGGGACAAACAAACTAATTTTCTTGCGTACAATTCAGAACCACAAGCAACAGTAACACGAGGTTACGTGACATCATACCCATGTACAGCATTAATGAACGGTTACCATTTTGTATAATCATCCAGGTTTATTGTTTCTCATCCTAGTGCTGTTTGTATATCATCAACTTAGCCATCACTGTTCGAGAATTCCCAACTTCCACTTCAATGATTTACGGGGTCGTTAATGGTCAATGATACAATTTGGAGCTTGCAGGCCGTTTTCCGCCTTGTAGGATGTACTAAAAATGATATTTCCATGGTTTTTCCGTCTTGTAGAATGTACTAAAAATGGTATTTCCATGTTTTTTCCGTCTTGTAGGACGTACTAAAAATTATATTTCCAGGGGTTTTCCGCCTTGTAGGATGTACTAAAAATGGTATTTCCAGGGGTTTTCCGCCTTCTAGGACGTACTAAAAATGATATTTCCATGGTTTTTCCGTCTTGTAGAATGTACTAAAAATGATATTTCCATGTTTTTTCCGTCTTGTAGGACGTACTAAAAATGATATTTCCATGTTTTTTCCGTCTTGTAGGACGTACTAAAAATTATATTTCCAGGGGTTTTCCGCCTTCTAGGACGTACTAAAAATGATATTTCCAGGGTTTTTCCGCTTTGTAGAATGTACTAAAAATGATATTTCCACGGTTGAGGGCAGAATACCACTACTTCTTCCAATTTTAAATCTTTAAGAAGTGATACCCCGTTCAAGTGGGTCTCACATCCCACTTCCTGAAAAAACCTTTCGTGGAAACAACGTTTCATATCGTGTGTAATGTCAAGAGCGTTATTTCACCAAAGGCTTGGAGAGGGGGGGGGGGGGCAAAGAAGAGTGACCTCGCATGGATCCCCCAATGCAGCAGGGGACCCTAGGCAATGGCATAATTTTCGTATATGTTTTAATCCGAGCTGAATAGAAGTGTTTCACGGAAACTGCCATTTGGGGCTTCATCCCGAGTTTTTTCGGGTAGCGCCCCTGACGCCC